ATCATTTAGCCATCTTAGATCAGCCATTAAGTTAATCTAATTTAATCTTTAATCTAAAATTAGATAATAAATTATATTGTTTTATAAAAGTTTATAATAAGATATAACAGTGAACATAGTACAGCTTAATCATCCCATATAAATATATAGATTCCATAAGCGTTTTAAATCTAGACAGTCTCAATTATACTTAAAAATTATTTGGAAAAGAAAAAAAACAAAATCTACAACAACAGAGAAGAAGACTAAAAGGCAATATCTTGGTTCAATTACAACATGATCCAAAATGAAGAGAGATTATTACAAGAATTGGTAAAGAACAAATAATTCTACAGTTTCCAATAGGGGATAAGGAGAAAAAACCATCAGTCAAAAATGAATCCCCCAGATCTTTCTCCTTCTAACATCTCAAACTTTCTAATGTATAAAAATCATTCTTTCTTTTTTAACACTATGATCAAAGAAAATATTTGGAAAAATCAAAATAAAAACTCCTAAAAAAGCCAAAATTTTCTACTTCTTACTCTACAATAATCCGCGATCATAAATAGTGTTTAAAAACAATGGCGATCGCATAAATTACGGGTAAAATCAAGAAGTAGCAAAAATTTTAACTTGTGACACAGTGTTGGAGATATGGGTGGCTTTGATTTAAGTATCTTTTCCATAGAGATTTATACCTGCCAATACCCAATTTCAGCCAAGGCTTCATGTTCCCATTGAAGTGAATAACTGCAGCACTCTCGATCAAACGGTTGTCAATGTTCACATCGTAGCCCAATCCTAAGACATGCCATCTCCGGTCAAGTGGTTCTGTGAGTCCGTAAAATGCTAGAAGACCAGCAGGAAGAGTTCCAAGCTTCCACAGTGTCCGATCAGTATTCTGCTCTTGCCAGTAATGATACCGTGCGGTCACGTTGGCTTTCCTCCATGTAATCAAATCAAAGACATTCATCCCAAATGCCCATCCACATGCCTGTGGGTCAAACTTTGAGCTAATGAGTGAGTTTGAGAAATTGAGATACTTGTAATATCGATGGAATGCTTCAAGGCATGTTTCCACTGCTCCATTCACGTTACCATGCAAATCCAGCGAAAAAAGTGGTGTCAGATCCTTCTGAACCACAACATCATCATCGAGAAATACTATCTTCTCTAGCTGTGGATAGATTTCAGGGATATAAAACCGAAGGTGATTCAACAAAGACAAATACTTTGGGTTCCGGAATTTTGGTTCAACCTTCAAATCTTGATTCTCCCCAAAATAGTAATCCTGTGAACCTGTGTTAAGGAGCTGCTTCACAATGGGAGAATACGAAGCATTCAACCAAGAAAATTCCTCTATGTTCTGCACTTCCACAATAGATCCTTTGAAGTCATTACTAAGGAACCACGCCTGCATAGCTCCATAGCTGACTTCACTGGTGACAATATGGAAGACAATCTGTTTTGGATGATCAGCATTGGAGATGGTAGAGTTTACAACAACTGAAGTAGCCAGTATGTTATCCGAAAAGATACAGAAATGGTAGAGATTGTTGTCCACTAGTCGAGGAGAGTTTTTTTTCTCATCTGCCAGTTCATGTAAGGGAAGCTTCCTGTGCCAATCAGCGGTGAGCTTAACCATTAAGCAATTGAGACTCTTTGGTAGTTCTTCAGCCACCATTTGTCCAAACACTGTACTCTGAAAAGTTGCTGCATTTGCACGCTCTTCAAGGGCTTGAATATGAGATTTCATCGTCATTATGGTGGTAGCAATGTCGTAATGTGCATCTTGTGCTTTATATATTAGAGATGACAGGCTACTTATTATTGGCCGTGCTTCATCTAGCGTAATAGGCTGTCCTCTCATGGCTGCTTTTGAAAGCAAAAGCTGGCAACTTCTAATCTTTGTGCTCAGTTCCCATGCAAGGTGAAGGTTGTTGTGCTCCTTGGCAATGATAACATAAGCCTTGGCAAGTGTCATTTGCTCCGCCAACTGTCTAGAAAACGAGGTGACACTCAGTATCTCTTCGGTAAAATTTAAACGCTCGGGAACAACATTCTCCAC